CCAAAACTGGAAAAAAAACTCAAAGATATAGAGAAAGTGGGACTACTAACAACCATGCAAGACATGGTAGACCACCAAAACCACCACCATCAGATAAACAGCACTTAAAGCGTTCATCTTTGAGAGAGAGGAAAAAATCAAGCTCCACTCTTGCTTCAGATCTGAAAAATTCACAGGTGTTTCTGTCCATCCTGAGAAGACAACTCAACACTATGAGTCTGAAATGATATGTAGCTATCAAGAGCCTTTGCAAATCAAAGAAAGTAGCTGCTGGTGTTCTCAAAACAATGGACTGACCACCCCAGAGTCCAGACCTCAACATCACTGAAAGTGTTTGGGATTGCTTGGATCATGAAAAGCAGAAAATGCAACCAACTTCTAAGACTGAGCTTTGGAGGTGTAGAAAAACATTTCTGCAAAACTAAAAGCAAGTCTCCAGAAAATGATGGAAGCTGTGATAAGCTGTATTCTGCTTTTGTTTTCTGTCCACTCTCTTAGACACAGATAGTCGGTCCACCTTGTAGATGTAAAGTCAAAGACTATAGCTCATCTGTTACTGCACGTTTTGTGTTATCTATGCTCTTGTATTTCTTAAGTGGTCAGTTTTGTGTTACCTATGCCCTTGTATTTCTTTAGTGGTCGGTTTCTGGGCAGAGGATGCTGTTGGCTGGATATTTTTGTTCTCAGTCCAGCAGTGTCACTGAGTCAGTATGAGTTTTCTTTATTTTTTATTTCGGCATCACCCCTGCGCAGCACATACATACTAGGACATCAATACCATGTCAGTGTCACTGCAGTGCTGAAAATGGTCCACTTCTCAAATGCCTGATCTGTGGTGGTCCTGTAATGATCCTGACCATTGTAAATTGGTATAGAGGGTAACAAATCAAAGTGAGAACCAGGTGGACTACAGTCTGTAATTGTAGAACTAGAAAAAGCAACAACATGGCAAGTAGAATTGCACAGTGAGTGTAGAAAGAAGGTAGATGTGGCCAGTAAGTCTACGTTGACACGTTCCCATGAGGCTAGCAACAAGCTAGCAGGCCTATGACTTGCCTTACAAGCCAAAAGTCTTGCTCTTTGTACCTGTAAGCGTTACAAGGAAAACCACAAAACTGGTCATATGTTGGTGTAAAAGGGAGCCTCTGTCCATCTCGCTTGCTCTCTGTCCAGTAAGTGATTGTCTTTGTGGGTTTTGTGATAGAAATAAGAAATGTCCATAGTTGCCATTGTTTATGCTTACAGTAAACTGTGGTGGGAAAAGGGGGGTACCCATCATTCTCAATGAAAAGAGGAAAGGAGAACTTCCTCCTACTATCAAGCACCTCCCCTGCAAACAACCACACAAACACATACACACAGAGTTCTTCTTTTTCTGCAGTTGATGACTTATGTTCTTAATGCATGCCCACATAGGAAAAACACTGAGATACACATGGGCCAAGCTGTTATAGATGACTGTGCTGTCATTTGTGGTCATTAATGATGCTGTTAGTACAGCAATCAGTAAAAATAGTGACAGTAAATGTAGGCTGCATCCTGAACCACATTCTGCCACACTAAGTTTAAAAAAAATCATACACCTCCAGTAGAAGTGCATTCATTAGTAAATTAAATTAGTAAGTATTAATTTTGGGCCCTCTGACAACTATTTGCATGGGTACCTTGCCTCACCTCATTTCCCTCAGCAGAACCTATCACAATATTAAAATATGCCAAAATTTTCAGAATCCTACACTTTATTTTGTTATAGCTCTATAATTCCAACTTTTACTTAGAATACAGCAAAGCATGCAGCAAGCTGTGAATATGACTATAAGTATGATGGCATATCAGTGCACTGTATTCAACTTACCAGGGGATTGAAATGCTTGTCAATGCTTGTCAAAGCAAAACTCTATAATGAACTCTTATTGACAACTATAGGACAGATGCATAGCCCACTAAAACATTCCTTTATCCAATTATAGATTTAGGCATTTGAAAATTTGTACTTCACTGAGGCTCAAAGATACACTATATGTCCAAAAGTATGTGGAGATCACTCCTAATTATAGACTTCAGACTTCCATTGCAGAAAGCTGTATAAAATCAGGCACACAGCCATGCAGTCTCCACTGCTAAACACTGGCAGTAGAAAAGTTCATACTGAAGAGCTCAGTGACTTTAAGCATGACACTGTTTTAGGATGCCAACTTTGACACAAGACACTTTATGAAATTTCCACCCTGCTAGGTCTGCCCCGGTCAACTGTTAGTTCTATTATTTGTGAAACAGAAGCATCTAGGAGCAACAACTGCTCTGCCACACAGGAGTAGACCGTGCAAAGTCACAGAGTGGGGCTGCTAAAAGTGCATAAAAATTGCCTATCCTCTGTTGCATTACTCGCTACAGAGTTCCAAATTGCCTCCAGAAGCAACATCAGCACAAAAACTGCACATCTGAAATTGGTTTCCATGGCTGAGCTGCACACAAGCCTAAGATCACTATGTGCAATACCAAGCGTTGGCTGGAGTGGTGTAAAGCATGCCACCACTGGACTCTTTGATCCGACTATCTTCACTGTCTGGAAGTTTGATGGACGAATCTAAGTTCAGCAAATGGCAGGAGAACATTATCTACAGGGATGCGTAGTGCCAACAGTAAAGTTTGGTGGAGGAGGGACAATGGTCTGGGGCTGTTTTTCAGTGTTTGGGCCCCTTAGTTTCAATGAAAGGTGATGTTAATGCTACAGCATACAAAGACAAATTAGACAATCATTAGCTTCCAACTTTAAGGTTTGGAGAAGACCCTGTCCTGTACCCTTGACAGGTTTGATGTGGTAGAACTCCACTGGCCTGCACAGAGCCCTGACCTCAACCCCACTGAACACTTTGGGATGAACTCGAACAATGACTGCAGGCCAGGCCTTCTCGTCCAACATCAGTGTCTGACCTTACAAATGGTCTTTTGACTGGATGGGCGCAGATTCCCACAGACACACTCCAAAATCTTGTGGGAAGCTTTCTCAGGAGAGTGCAGGCTGTTATAGCTGCAAAGAGCAGGCAACTCCATATTAATCTGTATTGCTTGAAATGGGATGTCCAACAAGCTCATATAGGTGGAATGGTCACATACCTTTGGTCATATAGCATAGAAGAGAAGCCTACAGAGTGTCCTTAGCATATATAGTGGACACCAGACCCTTCTACTTCTGCTTGACTTGCAAGTTAAACTTATACAAAATATTAACACAAAATTAATGAGTATGTAAAACAAAACTATCGATTTATGGGGGAGGGGGGAGACTCAAAAATACTTTTTTATGAACAGCTGCAGTCTTCATAACCCAATTTTACTCTAGAAAACTGCCTGACATACTGTATTCCAGGGGTGCACAACTCCAGTCCTGGAGGGCTAGTGTCCATCACAGTTTGGTAGTTTCCCTATTCAAAGACACCCACTAAACTTAGCAATTAATAAATAAGTTGAATCAGGTGTGTCTGACCAGGTAAATCACCAAATTGTGCTGGATGCCGGCCCTCCAGGACCGGAGTTGTGCACCCCTGCTGTATTCCCTGGTTTGTTGTTCTTCTGTCTTCTACATGGTCTTATATATTGTCACTATATATGTTTAATCAGTATTAATTTAATAAAGCGTTTCTCTGAAGAATCTTTCAGTAAGCCTGAGTATCACATACAAAAATGTACAATATTTTTGTGCCCCTGTCTCTTCCGGGCTATTGGAAACCTCCTAATCGTCCAACCCCTTACAGCGCCCCTGATTAGTGTGGTATGTTTAGTATAGCAGTACGCAGTTTGGGACGCAGCCGTAATCTTGACACACGCCACGCCTCTCTGGCATTTACAGCTTCTAACCACACGATGTCGCTCTCTCATTATCTAATTTCGTATAGGGACCAAGACACAACAACCAGGCTTTTACAAAACAGGTGGAGGGGGGCATTTTCAATGCGGCCGGTCAACAAGTGGTTGTGAATTGGAAAATTACACTCTTAATCTGTTTTATGTATTTGTATGCTTTATTAATCAGTTCTACTCCTTTCTGGTGACAGCAGGCCTGACAGATTAATCCACTGATTTAGCGATTTGCCTGCTGTCTAAACTAGACTGTTAAAGTGTTTTAAATGGACACAGAGCGGCTTTGTGTTGATCATCAACAGCTGAGGAGAAAACTCATTTCGGTAAACTGAACATTTGTAAATAATGTGTAAACTATTGCTAATCAGTCACCTGCCTGAACTTCTCCAGTGACCTCAAACTTTGCAGAGTTACTGGATCCCCATTCCATTCAGAGAGAGAGAGAGACAGAGAGAAAGAGAGAGAGGGAGAGAGAGAGGGTGACAGCGGTGTGTGAATGGGTTGGGGGAGAGCGAGCGAGAGAGAGAGAGAGAGAGAGAGAGAGAGAGAGAGAGAGAGACGCTAAGCCAGGAGTCTAATAGCAGGTTTTCGTTTTCATATTCGTTGTGTTCAGGTCTAAAGGGAGAGGAGAAAAGTGAGAGATTACAACATATCCGGCGAAAGTGAGTGAGCGAGGGAGAGGAAAAGAAAGGCAGAGCAGCCTGTAATTTGTGTTGAAGACACAGCAGCACTCCGCCTGGCCGAGCCGAGCTCTCTGAGGTGCTTCTCTGAGCTTTTCCGCGCGCGTCTCCTCTTCAGCAGATTCCTCACGCGCTCTATTAAGCTACATACGGGTCTCTCACACGGGTTTGGCTGGCGGCGCGTTTTCACCGCAGAGCTGTGACTCAGACCTGCTCATCCTCATACGAGTTTCAAACAAACTTTCTCGCGCGTGGTTTTTCCCCCCATCTATCTACACATGCAGCGTACACGCGCTGCAGAGGGACGAGTGCGCTTTTGACTTAAGTTTTGAGTGCGCGCGCACCTAGAAAAGTTCTTATTCCAGCGCTCGTGGAGAGAGTTTGTGTTTCATTTGCCCCCCATCTCACCTCCAGCATCCAAGCGCACCACCTCTACTCGCCCCTGTTCGGTTCCCGGCGATGCTGAGGGGGCTTCTTCTCGCGGGCGGGATCGCGCTGCTCCTCGCGCTCGCCGCGCTGCTGGCGGAGGGCGCGCGCAGCGGCGGCGGCGGAGGCGGAGGCAGCAGCGGCTACGGCCACGCGTACGGCGGCGCGAGCGTGTTCGCCGCCCAGTCGTCCCCTCCGGACCCGTGCTACGACGAGAACGGGCGGCCGCGCCGCTGCATCCCGGACTTCGTGAACGCGGCGTTCGGCAAGGAGGTGCGCGCCTCGAGCACGTGCGGCAGCCCGGCGGCGCGCTACTGCGTGGTGACGGAGCGCGGCGAGGAGCGCTCGCGCGAGTGCCACACGTGCGACGCGGCGGACCCCAAGAAGGCGCACCCGGCCGCCTACCTGACGGACTTGAACAACCCGCACAACCTCACGTGCTGGCAGTCGGAGAGCTACGTGCAGCACCCGCAGAACGTCACGCTCACGCTCTCGCTGGGCAAGAAGTTCGAGGTGACCTACGTGAGCCTGCAGTTCTGCTCGCCGCGGCCCGAGTCTATGGCCATCTACAAGTCCATGGACTACGGCAAGACCTGGGTGCCCTTCCAGTTCTACTCCACGCAGTGCAAGAAAATGTACAACCGGCCGAGCCGCGCGGCCATCACCAAGCAGAACGAGCAGGAGGCCGTGTGCACGGACTCGCACACGGACATGCGGCCGCTGGCCGGCGGTCTCATCGCCTTCAGCACGCTGGACGGGCGCCCGTCGGCGCACGACTTCGACAACTCGCCCGTGCTGCAGGACTGGGTGACGGCCACGGACGTGCGCGTGACCTTCAGCCGCCTGCACACGTTCGGCGACGAGAACGAGGACGACTCGGAGCTGGCGCGCGACTCCTACTTCTACGCCGTGTCCGACCTGCAGGTGGGCGGCCGCTGCAAGTGCAACGGGCACGCGTCCAAGTGCGTGAGGGACCGCGACGGCGGCGGCCTGGTGTGCGAGTGCAAGCACAACACGGCGGGCGCCGAGTGCGACCGCTGCAAGCCCTTCCACTACGACCGGCCGTGGCAGCGCGCCACCGCCAGAGAGGCCAACGAGTGCGTGGGTGAGTAGACTGTGCACCTGCTGGCCGGGGTCCTGGTGCGGGACGGCTGGGTTGGGCTGGGCTGCTTGGGGTCTGTTGGTGCCCCGTTTAAAAGAAAACATGTTTAACTTCTGTTTAAGGGCGTTTTAAACGCGCGCATTTGGCAAAACGATGGCGAACCATCTCAGAGCGCACAAGCGATGCTCTACAAACAGTGAACCACATCCAAATGTTAATACACTACACACTTAAAAATGGTTCTTCAAGGGTTCTTTAATAAAGGCAATGACTAGAATTAGAACCATGAGTTGTATATAGAAAGACTATGGTTCTTTGCGTAGTAGAATGGTTCCTCAGGTTGATGGAGAATGTGTAGCATATGGTTCTACATTGCACCAAAAAGGGTTCTTCTACTGTTACAAACTTGACATCATAACAATAGCAGAAGCCTTTTTGGTGCTATATAGAAGCATATATAACACAATCTTCATTAGTCTGAAGAACCATTTCACCATGCAAAGAAGCATTTAAGCTTATAGAACTCATTGTTCTAAATAGAACCATTGCCTTTACTAAAGAACCCTTGAAAAAACAACTTTTCTATAGTCTATTTAAAGGTAGAGCCATCTCACTACCAATTTGGCAAAAATGTACTGAGCTGTTTTTAAACTCCAAATAAATAAATAAAAAGTAAAAAAAGGTAAATTATATTTCACTGCAGCTTCAAATCACTAAATAACGGCCTCAAAATATCTAAAATCTTCCTTTCCAATCTGTAGAAAATTCAGCATTAAGCTTGCAAGTCAGTCAATATCTTTACGAGCATCAGACCAAATGATAAACAGTAATAAAGGAAGTAACAGGCCTCCTTTTCCATTTAGAATTTAAAGAATTTGCTCTTGACAAAACCTTTATTTCACCAACAGAAAAACAGCTTAATCCCAGTTACAAAATAAGCGTTACAAATGGACGTTTACAGCTCTGCATACTCTGTCAGTGAACTGCACTGTTGGCTACACAGGCGCATCCCATTCAGCCAGTGTTATAAAGCTGAATCAGGATTATCCAACACGCTCCACATTTTTATTGTCCCACCATACCATAAAACATGATGGTGCACAGAAAAAAAAGGAAGAAGGAAGTTTAATCCAACAATAGCAGCTGTTGGACTTGTTGAAGTCTGGCAGAGGTTTTCACTGAAGTCATGCATGTCGTGTTATTCCAAGGCAGGTGTCTTTATCAGATCGAAGCGGAGATTAGATCAGTTTTGCTAACATTTTTTTGGCGTGTGGAAGACAAACTGCTACTTTGAGCCAAATAAATTGTGGTGAAAAAAAAAGGTTAAGCCGAGAAATAATATTTACAAGTGCAAGAGGAGGAATCTTTGAAGGTTTATGGCAAATAACATCTTTAGTGTTATTCAGACTTGATTGACTATTATTGGTCTCAATGTAGATGCTGGTGAGAAATTAGAAGTTTTGTACTCTTAAAAAATAAAGGTGCTAAAAGGGGTTCCTCAGAGTGATATAGAGCAAACACTTTTGGTTCCCTGAAGAACCTCTCAATGGACAGTTCTCGAAAGAAACATTTTTGTAAGTGAAATGAGAACCTTATTATTCTTATTATTCCATTGATTTTTATCAAAATGTCCATGTAATTAAATGATTAAGATGTAAATAAAGTCGTTCAGAGTGGTTTGTGAAATTCTCCCTTCTAGAGAAAGTTAGAGTCTGAATTGTTCACAGTGGTGGTGATAGGAACCAGATGTCTGAAGTGTTTAACGCCTCTAAAAGCTCCCTAGTAGAAAGTTATTACAAGAAACGGTCATTAATACGCAGATTGATGCCTGAGACATTTTTGTATGAGAATTTTGAGATAAACTTTGGCCTGTGTGCTTTTAAAAGATGGAGTGTTAGGCAAAATAGTAAAAAAAAGTAAAGCTTAATTTTTTATTTAGATTTATTATATTTTATCCTCATCAACAAGTTCACTGGTCATGGGATAAAAAAAAATAATGTTGCAATATTTGTGTTGTAGACATTGCTACCCCTGATTCTTATCACCACTGAAGAGAAATCTGATTGTTTCATTTCAAACCACTCTGTATGGCTTTGTTTACATTCAGAAATGTTGAAAAAACCTGTAAATTCCATTTTTAAAGTTTAAAGATCCTCTGCATAAAGCTTTTACGCCAATTAGATGTACTCCTAGAACCCTGCATCCAAGCCAAGAACCATTTAGGAACCTTTATTTTTAAGAGCGTATATCATTGATGGGATCCAGCATGTGCTGCATATTAGTCAGCCAAGGCGGACCACCCTCAGACTTGCCTTTTCTTATTTAACAAAAGCTTTCCCATCATCATTCTCGTGCATTAAACTGTGAACTGAGGGAGCCTCTTTTACATTTACCCCTGTCACCAGCAGATCTCAGACGTGTGGCAGTCTAGAATCAGGTTCCTCTTCGCTGCACTGGGCTTGTAACCGTATGCTAAAATGTAAAGCTGTGATGGGGGCAGCTGTGGGTGTGTTCCATCACAGTGAGTGGGTGTGCATGAATAGGACCCGAAAGGGAGACTGAAGGCTGCTGCCACAGTCCACTGACTAGCTATAAAAGCCACTGAATTGCTGCCAGCGTAGAGGACGTACGCTCAGCCTTGGACTGAACTGTGTCAGTATCTAAGCTGCAGGTACGAGTCTGGTAAGGGATACCAAAGTAAGCTTCCCATGAACCGGCATATGGGGGCGCCTTTATTATTTGGAGAGCTGCGTGGTGACCAAGAGAACATTCCAGTTCCTAGGGCTTGGTTTTGCACGCAATGCTGAGATTTAAGTTATGATTTCAAGTGGTGGTGTTTGTCTAAGTGGTTGTTCATGGTGCAAAAACCAAATCTCGGGAATTTAAAGGGGAATTCTTCTGAGATTTTAAGGGGTTCACTCCTATAAAAGATCCCTCACAATAAGCTTTCACATAAAATGGTTATGAATACATTGAATGATACCTGAACATTGTTTTGCAGTGGTTTTGAGATTTTTTTTCCAAGCAAATCTGGTGCGTTTTTGTTGGTTCATTCATTATTAATTTCAAGCACAATGTAAAGGCTAGCTGTTGTGCTCAAATGATGTAGACAAATAAAATAAAAACTGGAGATACTTTTTTTTTTTCAATTTTATTATAAAATATTTTTTAACTCCATTCATGGTGGGGAGGTACATGCAGAGTATTGCGAGACTAAATAATACTAAAAGAAAACATTTTTCCTTTTTTCCTGATATATAATTATTTTGTTATATTTAAACATTACATGTAAAAACTAAAGATGCATGTAGGTTCACTGGTCATCTTGGATTGTAATAAAATGGCTATAGCTGGGTTCTAGACATTGTCCCTACCACCACCACTGTAAAGAAAGTCTGAGCCAGTGGGTTTCTCTATAGCACATATCAACACCACTCTGGTTTCACAACAGAACAATTGGAATGATGTTGTTTAAGTCTCAGTGCAGATTTTTGTGAATTTTTCCATTAGAAACCCCTCAAACTATTGTATTTCTGTCTGTGGAGATAAATCTAGAATTGTGTATGTGACGATACAGCTAATTCCTGGGAAAAGGTAACATTTTAAACAGAACCACAGATGTTTGATTCTCTCCACTCTAATAGGAGAAAGTTTTAATATGTTCTTTCTTATTTCCTCTCTGCTTAGAGGCCTTGTGTAAGTATAGTCTTCACACTTCGGTCTAATCTCCTGATTACTTCCTTGCACTTTTGACTCCTCCTACACAGATCCTTGTCTGCTGATTGAACTTTCACATAGTAATAATACCTTCACATCTTATTTCATCTGGTTTGTCTCATTGTATTCTTTAAGCAACAACTTTCATGATGTTTGTTTCATGACATGGCCAATGTAAAATGCTCATTACTAAAGATATAGTGTATATTAGTCTTCATTATGACTTTCAGTATGACCATTAAAACCTCTTAAACTGCCAGTGCTCATATGTGGACCCACAATTTAGATCCTCTCTCTTATAACTACATATTAGTCAGCAGTTACCAAATATAGGCATTATTGAATACTGACTCAGTTGTTTGTACTTGAGAGATAGCTTGAGGTAATGGCTTCTCTGTAGACATTGGTGAGAAATAAAGAAGTGTTGTTTGAAGGTTTTGAAACTTTCTTAGCTTACACTCTTAAAAAGAAAGGGTTCTTTGAAGTGTTGAACCCATTCTGGTACCCTAAAGAAACCAGTGGAGGATTCCACACTGTAAAAGTGGTTTGTCTGATCAGCTTAAAAAATGACAATGTGGCAACAAGCAATTTAACTGGTTTAATTCAGTTCAAATAAACACTTTGAATGAAACAATGCAAAGCCAATTTTTAGTGTAGATAAACACATTATAATGTTATAATATATATCAGTTCAAACATTTAAAATGTCTTTTTGTGCAGTTTCACTTTTTATGGTATAAAGAAACATCTTTGTAAATGTACAAGTGTGATGAACCTTTTTAAGGTTTAAAGAAGTTCCAAATAATATCAAGGTTCTATACCAAGTAAAAGTTTCTCCTAGAACCTTATGTCTAGGCCCAAATATAAATCATATCATTGTGTCATTGCATGCAGATGTGCAAATGCATGGCTATTAACCCCTTAATCTGCAAGTACCCATGTGTACACTCAAAATTCAGTTCCTCTTTTATAATTACGTAGTACATAGTTGGTTACAGAATGCACTGAAAACGACATGCAAAGTTGAAGCAAGTAAATTCAATGCTTTATTTTTCAGTGTAAATCTGTATTTAAGTGGTTTAAAAAGAATAAAACCTTTTGCACATTTTTACCACCTATAGATTTGCTGGTTGTGTGTTGTGCTAGAACCTGTTCCTCATAAGAAATGTACCTGATGCGAACTCATTCTGTTTGCCAAAGCGTTCAGCAGAGTGAATACCACCAGCAAAGCTTGCTGCTGAGCTGGCGTATGTTCTCGGGCCAGAAACAGGTAATTTAATGAACGG